AGTCAGGTGAAAAGAAAAGGCTGCAGAGAAGAGAATGAAATGGCGACGTGCTAGTGAAGCCCTATGTCCCACCAGGAACCCAGAGAATAAATAATAGTGTGTATAATAATAGTAATGATAATGTAAGAGTGGAAGTGTAGCCCTGCGTTATCTTTAACCGTATTAGATTAAAATAAACATGAAACTTTGAATCAGTGTTGTAATGATTGACTAACTTGATCAGTGAGTTACACAACTCCGTTGAACAATTCTTCGGATACTGACAGTTTAAATACTGCATTATTCTAATATTTTTGGATATAAAATATTGTTGATTGACAAAACACTTTTGAATTGCACAGTAGCTTCCTTTAAGGATATATATTATCATTATTATTATTTGTCCCTTAGGTTCCTAGTGGAACATAGGGCTTCAGTAGCACGCCTCCATTTCACTCTGTTCTCTGCAGTCTTTTGAACCTGGCAACACGATTGTCCACAAGCTTTCATTTCTTCCTTACATGATCTCCATGTCGCCCTCGGACACCCAACTCGTCGTTTCCCCTTTGGATTCCACTTGAGGGTCTGACCTGGCGCATGATGTCCCCGATCGGCTTTCTCAGTGTATGTCCAATCCAATCCATCTTCACCTTCTTCTTCTGCATATTTGTTGGGTGATAGATTCTTGCTTCGTTGGTTCGTCACCAGCCAGAGTTCCTTGTTGCTTATTCTTTCTGGCCATCTCATCTTCAGTATCGAGCATAGGCGGTAGCTGTTGATGTCTGTCTGTAGTTTGCTGGAAGTGGTTTTCCTGACGTGCCAAGTTTCTGATCCACCATACATCAACACTGACTTGACGTTGGTGGTGAAATCCGGATGTTGTTCTTTGTGCTAAGTGCAGGAGATCTCCACACTGATTTCAGATTAGTGAAAGCCTGTCTTGTTGTGTTTTCGATTCTGGTTTTGACATCCTCGTCTATGCCGCCGCCTGTAGTTGAAACGATTCTGCCCAGACAGGTGAAAGAGACAACTTCCTTTAAGTTTCTCCCGTTGATGGTGATTGGAGCTTGTTGGTGGTGGTGGCGTTGGTTGGGTATCTTCATCACCTCCGTCTTCTCTGCATTCACCCGAAACACCGTTTTCACTGCCTCTTGTGTCAACTTGTTAGTTTTCGCCTGTAGATCTTCTGGTTTGTGTGACGATAGGCAGAAATCATCATGGGCGAAATCCGAATCTTCTAGGACCTTTTCATCGGTCCATCTTCTCGCTCCTCACAGTTTGTTGCACGACGCAGTTCAGTCGACCACAATCAGGAAGATCATCGGTGATGGTAGGCAGCCTTGTCTTACTCCTTCCTCTCTTCAAAGACGTCACTGAGCTTTCCATTGTGGATCACTTGGCATTTGGCGTCTTCATATAGCTTAGCTGTTGAATAAGGTTGATAAAGATTTGTGGCACTCCATAGTGTTGAAGTGAACATATATCAGATAAGTGAAGTGGTGTTAGGGATTCACTTATCTACTTAAGATTGATATTCATTAGTTATTCAACGATGACATTGGATGGAGGTGGCGTTATGCAGTGAACTGACAGAAGTAAGAAATATGGACCATTAACTTTTGACCCCGTGACTCAATAGTAACGTGCTAGCCGCAGGACCACATGGTTCTACGTTCGATCCCTTGAGGGTAATGGGAGTCCCATACCAGGACGAAACAGCTGTCCAGTGTTTCTCCAGCTTATGTCACAGTTCACGATGAATGCTAACGTTATTATTGGTTACATTAACTGATGTATTAATTGGTCTGTATGAATTAGATATGATCCTTTCAACCGCTGATTGTCCCACTCTTCATAATCGTGAAAAATCATCCTGTAACAACTGCAGAAGTATCAATTCAACGAATATAGCATCCATTCCGTAATCAGTAGACATCTAAGTAAGGCTGGGGAACAGCAAATCCAGTAAAATCAAGCGTTGTTGTGACCGTATTGACCACGTTTTGGAACACAGGCACATTGACGGATTCTAGCTGCATTTCTTGACGTGAAATTGACATCCGACACTGGCCATGGAAAGGTCATGAGCAGTATCTTTCACTGAGTATGCATATCGCTTTGTTGGACACTCCATATTCGAATACCTGTGGGCGTGTAAGAGCTTCTGACAAGATATCAGAGGAGTTGTGTATTCTTAATGGTATCCGTCAAGCATATTCACTCTATCTCCATGCTTACGGAGGTTTCCCTCTCCACATCTAGTTTTACCGCAGTTGGCTTTGTCATAGACCTGTTTGACATTTCAAAACTTGCGTCTTATATGGCGCTGACTGGCGAGTTATCCAACTATCTATCAAAGGATGAGTATGTTGGTCTACAGTCTGTTCTGCCCTGTTAAACAGTTGTGTGACGTGGTCATTAAAAGTAGGAGATATGAACCGATTACAAGTTTTTGACGATAGTTATCTTCGTAGAATTACTCTCGTATGGTGGAGTCACCCGATTAATAATGTTGATATCAGGCGAATGGTACTACGCAAGGAAGGCAAGTCGATTGATGAGGTTGTGAGCCTTCATCAACTGAGGCGGCTTGAAAATATGTTGCACATGCCGAGCCACTGCCATCTACCTCGACGTGCCATGCCAAGTAAAGTTAGATTAGGTTAGAAGGGGGTTCAGGTTGGCGAGACGAAGACGTAGCATTAGTCAATGAAGTCCCTGACTGTTGGTCTAAGTTGTGTGAAGGGTAGATGTAGACTACCTGATTGGGGTCTGCGAGAAGAAAGAAATTAGTGGTTGAGGACTCTAGGTGAAATGCCTAAGAGTCGGTTGGTATGATTCAGATACATTTACTCTTCCTGCATCTTCAAATTGCTTATTCTCTCACACATCATTGTCTACTTTGATATCATTCTTATGCTTTGTACTTGTTTTTTGTATAATACTTTGAAATGTAGCAATTTAAATCAATAGACTTGTGTATGAAGTTGTATGTTGGCTTTCTCTGTCTATCTGACTTGTCATAGGAGACTCTTTAATAGTTAAGTGAAGATTTAGTCTCTTGAACACCTTGAGTGACAGTTCGAAAATGTTTACTATGCTTTCCTCACCACCTCAGAGCAAATTATTTCTCCAGGTTCTACTAATTTACAGTATTACAATGAATAATTATTAGGAGTGAAAGTTGAAAGTAAACAGCATCAGATAGCTCTCACTAGAAAAGTTCAACGCCATAATACTGATTACATTTTATTTGGTACTTTCAAGTGGAACCCAGATGGGAAGCGATGAGTTCGGCGTTCGAGGGTGACATGGAGGAGATGGTATGAGAAGGAAATGAGGGCTTGTGGGCTGTTGTGGAACCAGGTTCAAAAGTTTGCAGAGGACAGAGTGGAGTGGAGACGTGCCACTGAAACCCTATATGTTCCATTAGGAACCTAAGGGACAAATAATAAATTAGTTCATTGATTTTTGAATGCTGGTACATGTGGCTCATCTCAAATGTGTCATAATTTGAACTGATACATTTCTGTTCTAGGCAATACGTTAATTTGTCAATTTCTTTGTATGTGTAATGCTAAGGTTAATTAATAAAGGCAACTAAAAATTTCCCTAGTTTCAACGAATTTATCTTTTTTTATAGGGGGGATGTATTCGAAGAATTTAAAGTGTTAACATGCTTCAACACTACGGAATACCACAAACCTTTATCAACCTCATTCAACAGCAGCTATATGAAGACGCCACATGCTAAGTAATTCACAATGGGAAGCTCAGTGTTGCGTTTGAGGTGAAGACAGGAGTAAAACTAGGCTGTCTACTATCACCCATGATATTCCTGATGGTAGTGGACTGGACCATGCAGCAAACAGTGAGGAGCAAGAAGATGGGCATACGCTGTTTGTCCGATGAAAAGAGCCTAGAAGATTTGGATATCGCCCATGATGATTTATGTCTAGTGTCGCTTAAACTCGGAGATCTACAGGCGAAAACTAACAAGTTGACAGAAGAGGCAGAGCAGCGAAGACGGCACTTCCTTCAGGTGAACGTAGAGAAGACAGAGGTGATGAAGATACCCAACCAACAACAACAAGCTCCAATCACCATGAACAGGAGAAGCCTGAAGGTAGTAGTCTCTTTCAGTTTAATGCAGGAAGGCCTGTATTACTTTTCCGATACTGGCCTTGACGTCGTCATCTGTGCCGCCAGTAGTTGGAACGATACTGCCGAGGAAGGTAGGTGAAAGAAACAACTACCTGCGCATTTCTCCTGTTGATGATGATTGGTGTTTGTTGTTGTTGTTGGTTGGGTATCTTCATCACCTCTGTCTTCTCTACGTTCACCTGAAGGAATTGCCGTCTTCGTTGCCCTGCCTCTTCTGTCAACTTGTTGGTTTTCGTGTGTAGATCTTCGAGTTTGAGCGACATTAGACATAAATCATTATTGGCGAAATCCAAATTGTGTAGTGTTTTCATCGGTTGAACAGCGAGCATATGCCTATCTTCTCGCTCCTCACAGTTTGCTACACGGCACGGTTCAGTCGACTGCAATCAGGAAGATCATCGGTGATACAAGGTAGCCTTGTCTTCTCCTTCCTGTCTTCACTTGAAAGGCGTCACTGAGCTTTCCATTGTGGATCACTTGGCATATGGTGTCTTCATATAGCTTAGCTGTTGAATAAAGTTGATAAAGGTTTGTGACACAAAAACTGTAGTGTTGAAGGAGTTTCCGAATTACTTCTCGGTCGACGCTGGCGAATGTCTTTCCAAGTTCGATGAAGTTGAGGTGGAGAGTTGACTGCCATTCTACTCTCTGTTCTATGATAATGCATAACGTTGCAATTTGTTCTGCACATGGTTTTAATTCTTAAATCCAGCCTCTTCCTGACGTAATTTTGAATGCAGCGCATCTTTTAATTTCTCCAGGATGATGCGACCTAATATTTTGCATGGGGTGGCCAGTAGCATGATTCCTCGCCAGTTCTTGCAAAGGCTTCGGTCTTCCTTGTTTGGGAGTTTGACAGGGAAGCCCTTCTTCCACTTGGCAGGTACGTCTCTTTCCTTCCCCTCTTGTAATGGTGGTGTCAACCTGTCCTCTGTTGTCTCTGCGTCTGTTTTCAGTACTTCTGGTGGATTACCATCTGGTCCTGGTGCTTTCCTGGCTTCCAGCATCTTTATGGCGTTCAGGGCTTCTGCTTTTGTCGAAGGGCTTGTGTTGACTGGTAATCCTGTGGCTGGTGGTGGTATTTCTGGATAAGTTGCAGGTGGTGGTCGATTGAAGAGTTTTTTGAAGTGATCAGCTTATCGTTTTGTTTGTTCCTCCTTTTGGGTAACTAGCTTTCCTTCTCTATCTTTCATTGGTGTCATCTGTGTTGATCTCTTCTCAGATAGTATTTTGGTTATTTGATACAGTGTTGTCAGGTCTCTTCTACCTGCAGCCTGTTCTGCTTCACTTTCCAATGTGTCATAGAATAGGAGTGTATTTTGTCTTTGCGTGCACTCTTCTTCACTTCTTTTTTCAGTGTTTCATAGGTTGTATTCAATTTCTCTTTTCGTTGTCCGTCTCTGCACCGGTTTATCTTCTGCTTCACCGCCTTTCCGCCCATCGTCTATCAGCTTCCATGGGTCCGTCAAGATCCATTCCTTGTCTTCTACCTTCTTGCTTCTTAATACAGTTATGCAGGTTTGTTTCCACAACTCTTACAAAGAGTTCTAGTGTTCTTCCATGGAGGTTTCGTCGGCCATCTTGTTCAGTATCTTTCATTTTGTCTTGATGGCAAACGTGAAGATTTCGTGTGTAATTTCGTCCCTCAGTTTCTGTTCTGGGTGTTGAACTTGAACTGTGATCTATCAACAGCTTCTTTCAAGGCTTTCTACTTGATTTTGAAGGTTCCTTTCACTTGCTTAGTGAGTGATCTGAACCTAAATCTGCTCCCCTTCTTGATCTGATCTTGTGTCAAGTGGTCTTGCTGCGTCTTCACTTTCTTCAGAAGTCGATTTGATTTTTAGTGTAGTGTGTCCATCTGGTGAAATCGAATCCATGTCGCTTGCTTTGTGAATGTTCTTGTATTTGTACACACTTCGTTGTCGCCAATCACCAAATCGTTGAATGCGTAGAAATCTGTAAACAATTCTCCATCCTCTTTGATTTCACCGAGTGCTTCTCGATATATGATTGCTTCTCTTCCTATGTTGTCTACTCCCAGTTTGGCATTCATGTCACCCCACCCATTAGAATTCTGATGTCATCAACTGGGCTGGAGTCTTGTCTAGTACTCATTACAGTTGTCTGTAGAATTCCTCCTTCTTCTCTTGATCTGCATTATTTGTAGGTGTATAACGTAGCATGGCATTGTATGATTGTGACTTTCCTTCCTTTTGAGTTCAATCTTGCTGTCATGATCCTGATCCTGGAGGAGATTGATTCACACTGCATGCGAGTGATCCTTCGATGCTCTTGGAGACATCATGATAGCCACTCTAAAACTCAGTGTGCTCGTGGTTGTCATCTGGGTGACCGGAGTAGATTATTGACTCTCCAGTTAACAGTTTGTAGAGTCCACTTCCATTCCATCTGCTTTCGCAGATTCCAAGCACTTCTATGCCATATCTTCCCATCTCTTTTGCAAACTGGGCAGCCTTGCCAGCCAACGTTCATATATGGTATGGACATTTCATGTCCCCATGTTTGCTCTCACTTTCATGGAGAGAAGATACATCGGCCAATTGGCTTCTCGAAGGCTTTCACCAAATGGCGTCATTTCCCCTCCGATTCCGGCGTAGAATAAGTTTATTTTTATTTTTTATATTTCCTTTGTTTGTTTACATTTCTTTAGCGGTTAGATTTTTTTTACGGTGTAGGGTCGCTAGCCCTATGCCCAACCTTCCATCTTTATCAGGGCTTAGGACCGGTTAGTAACTAGTGAACTGATTACCTAGGCGAGGTTAATAATAATAATTGTATAGTGTAAAACCACCTGAAACTCAGAGTTGATGAAGAGTTTGAATAGAACTGTATCTCTGTTGGCTAAATGATAGTTGAGTTAGCTTTGAACATCACTCCCCACCTATTGAGGTTTGAGTGATAGCCAGAGGTAGGTATCACTTCCCTCCATACACAATAGCTGTATGGCTGATTTGGGGTCTACTGGGAGTATTTCAGTTTTTACTAAATAGTTTATGTGTTATTCAACAGTGATTCCCATGTTGATAGTTATGATGGACGCATTTTTTGTCCTATCTTGGGATTCGTCATCCAGAAACAACAAGTTGATATATCTGTTTGTTTTTAAGCAAACTATCCATGTATTTTTGATTCAAATTTATCATTCTGTTCCTTCCCACCCTCCCTTCTCTTCTCTTCTCTTCAGTTCATGAATCGTTTAATCCCATCTGTTCATTACCAAGATTAACGGGTAAATGTCGTGCCAATTTACAACGTTGGGGTTGGAATCCACAAACAGGCACTTGTCAATCATTCATCTATGGTGGATGTGATGCAAATGAGAATAATTTTTCAACTAAAAAAGAATGTGAAAAGGTGTGTCAAAGTAGAATTCATGTGTAGTCATATCGGCGCCATGATGTGGACGTTTATCATCAACGAACTTCTCTCCTCTCCTCTCCTCTCCTCTCCTCTCCTCTCCTCTCCTCTCCTCTCCTCTCCTCTCCTCTCCTCTCTCCTCTCAGTAATCACACACACGCATACATACATACATTCATAGCTACACTTTTATAAACTGTGATCGAAATTCTTTTTCTTGTTTTAGCGTAAATGAGAAAGGCGAAAGTGACAGAAAACTTGTTTTCTAAACAGCTAAAAACATCAACATTTTTAAAAATTTTTTCTCAACTGTTTTTTTTAAATTATCATTTATGATTGTCTTATATGTTCTAGCAATGATATATCACCGCCTTAAACTAATTAATCTTTCTACATTATTGTCTATTTCTGTAACCACCTGGATGTCTGCATCACACATTTGTGGACGAAAACTCGGTAACCAAACAATTTGTTAAGTTGTTTAACTAGGGATAGAATTTGCCTGAGTAAGTGGGTGATCATCATGAGTTAAAGATCCTCCTCACAGGCGACTCCAACCAACCAGGCGGTTTCATTAGCCTACAACATCGTAGGCGTGGTTCGATGTCTACTGTATGAATCCGATGATGGTATAGTGTGGAACATGGTTACTTATGTTCCATTATCGACAAATTGAGTGTGACAATCAGATCATTACTAAGTGATGTTTTTATAGTTTCTGTCGAAAATCTGGCTGGTGATCACATCGCTAACGTTTCTCCTTACAAGCAATATGTTGACATGATCACAATGGCGTAGATGTATTCATTTACTCCATCATCATCAATATCAACATAGGACCAGGCATTACTGCGTAACGCTCCAACTTGCCACACCTCATATCACTACATCAAGTAGAAAGGCAGTGAGGTGAGGGATGAAGATAAGAGAATGCAGTCAAAAGAAATATTAAGTACGAGAAGAAAGAAAGGAAGAATGACAAAATGGTGAGATTCGATGTAGAGTCGTTAAGATGAGGATAATGTATGTGGGGATACTTCTGCGCCACTGACATCGGTTCTGAGCCATATCCCCTAGAGTCTCCGACAAGCACTGGTTCCTCGTGTTCCACGGACCCCAACCACCTAGTCTGCACCGCCTCACATGACTCAAACTAACAGTCATTGACTTCATGGGTTGGTGCCATGTTTTAGTCTGGACACCTCCACCCTTTATCCAACCTGGACCTACTTCGGCCAACACTGTGTGACGAGGCAATCGGTGACTAGGCATACGTAGTACGTGTCCTAACCATCTCAGTCGATGAAGGTTCATAACCTCATCTACTGATTTACCTCTACTCCTGACTTCTGAATTACTCACATGGTGACACCACGGAATACGGTTTATACTACGACGAAGGCAACGGTGGTCAAACACTTGAAGCCTTCTCATATCTTCCACTTTTAATGGCCATACTTCACAGCTGTACAGTAGGACAGAGCGGACTGCTATGCGGTACACGCGACCCTTAGTAGACGAACAGATATCACGGCGGCGCCATATGTGATGTAAATTGGCAAAAGCCAATCGAGCCTTTTGTGTCCATGCAGAGATTTCATCGGCCACTGAGCTAGCCACTAGGGCTGATCCTACTTCCCAGGTAAGTGAAGTGGTCAACACACTCAACCACTTCACTCTCTATTGTTAACCGCGGTGGGGTACCGCTGAAGACCAGTCCTGGAGCAAAAATTTGCATTTGTGTGGTGATAACTGCATCCCAAACATTCTGAAATTTTCACTCAAAGTTTTCAGAAGACTCTGCATCTTGTCAGCGTCTTCACCTTAACAGGACTATGTCATCTGAATATTCTAGGTCTAACGAAAATTCTCCACCACTTAGGTCAACGTCGGTGACGAGGGGGAGACCCCCATGAGAATATCTATGATGATTTTGAATAAGAATGGAGAGAGTGGACATGCTTGACGGACACCACTCAATGAGCATAGCTCCCTGGACAACTCACCATAGGCCCTTACATGCCCACAAGTGTTCGAGGAGAGAGCTTTCAATAACGTGATGTACTTACTAGGCACGCCTTTCAGTGACAGACATTGCCATAATACTTCTCGATCAACGGAGTTGAATGCCGCCTTCATGTCGGGAAATACAGCTATTGTCGGACGCCTGTAAACGTGCCTATGTCAATGTTTGGTCGATACACCTGTGGCCGGGTCTAAAGCCTGCTTGATTGTCTCTGGCTTGCTGTTCCCGAGCTCCACTCAGGCGTCGGAGAATTATAGAACCTAGGATTTTGGATGCTATGTTCGTCAGGCTGATTCCTCTGTGGTTATCACAAGAGGACTTCTCGCCTTTCTTGAAGACTGGGATAATGGTGACTTAGACCAGTCGGAGGGGATCGTATTTGATTCCCATATACTAGCTAGAACTTCCGTTAACCTGACTAAGAGCACCTTACCACCATACTTGGTATACCTCAGCAGGTAGTCCGTGTGGTCCTGCTGCTCTTTTTTGGTTCAGACTACCTACCGCTTTCTCAACTTCTCCCAGTGTTGGGGGACCTATCTCTATGTTCCATTCAGGATTCGACTGGATAGCGGTTAACGTCTTCTCAAGCTTGGTTAGTGAAACTAACTAGATCACTAGTGATCTCTATACTAAAGTGTTAATTAATGTGGCACTTGAGGCAGTCTGAAATCAACCAAATATTGACTCACAACTTACTCATAGAACGTAGATATCAATTGATGATGTCATATCAGACTTGCAGTTGTGCCTAGTCTCCACAGTCTTCAAGTTTCAAGACAATATATACAGACACACAGAAGGAGTAGCAATCGGATCGCCAATATCCCCAATTGTCGCAGACATATATTTATAGATAGTTGAGAAAAGATGACTCTATAAAGGTTTAATCCTTCACCTAGGATAGATATATATGCTAGTGATATGTGGATGACACATTTACTACTATGTTGATTATATGCGAATATACCAACAGTTTCTTCACATGTATGAACTCAATAGTCTATAGATGAAATGAAATTCATTTACTTGATAGACAATGAAGTGGAAAAGGAGAATTACGTATGTTAGATTGCAGGATAAAAGGAAAGAGAGACGTCGGTGATTTGTATACTACCGAGTTCAGGAAACTGACATGTTCTAACCGGTAGGTATTTAGACTTCATATCATCTCATCCAATGTCAGTTAGTTAAGGCAACTTTAGTCAAATGATCGAGCTAGATAAGTGACTAGTCATTTCAAGGAAGCGTTAATAATTATTGTCTACGATTTATTAAGAAATTGGTAGGGAAATATCAGCAACGAAATGATAACAGTAATATGGATATGAAAATTGGTGACAATATGAGTAGAAAGGAGTTCATTGCCTCTATTGTGTTGTTACCTTATAAGGAAGGAAGTCGAGAATCTTTACGTAGGATTTTGAACAAGGCTGAAATTAGGGTGGCATTTTGAAACGTACAAACTGAATCAGAGGTAAGTTTTGTCGAATGTTCTAAATATCTGATACAACCAATTAATCTAATCTATCAAATTCCATGGAATGATTGTGAGGTAAAGTACATAGATTAAACTAGTCAGTCGAGGTGAAGTAGAATAGCGGAACATAGAAACTTAGCTAAAGATAGACCCTGAGATAGATCAATAATGTAGATGAGAAGAACTCGGCTATTTCAATGTATGGATCAACAGACAACCATACAATGGGGTAGGTGAGATGGAACCATTGTACTCAAGTGCAATATAATTAGGTGGAGGGAGAGAGAGAGGAAGATTGATTACTGAATCCTGGTTCATCGAATCAGCACCCACTCAACACGTTTGTATACCAGAGATATGGAAAGGCCTATCATCATTGAAAGAAAAGAATATGATGTGACAGGATTATAATGATCAGATATCTCGAAAGTTGTTTGAATACACATGGATGTGATTATGAATAATAGGTATTTTGTGCTCAAGATGTCATCAAGTAAACAACAATAATACAGTATTACTCATTGTCTGCTGGCTATGTTATATTCGATCAGAGTGTACTCAAGTTTTGATCTTTAGATCCGTTGGTTTATGAACAGTTTTAACTGTGGTTTGTTCTTGACACACCTGATAACAAGCTTATAAATATCTGCATTTTTCTACCTTCATTCATTACTGTAGCCGAATTCTTTGTCATGAATATGAAGTCAAGTACATACATGAAATTAGCCGGTCAACTAGATGATCGAAACATAGAAATTTAGCTAAATATTAGAATGATAGACCTTAGTAGGATCAAAAATCTTGAAAAACGTTTGGTTATTGCAGTGCATCCATTAACACACACACACACACACACACAGGGTAGATGCATTGAAATCGCTGTACTGAAGTCCAATGTGATTAGGCAGAGGGAGAGAGAGATATTGATAATTTAAATAATCGAGAATATTTGTAGCTCAGGTGGACGGTCTTCGTTGTATTGTGTTATCTGAGGAGCTGGGTTGTGTAATCGTGAAGCTTTCATCGTCTTGCTAGACAACATCATCAACACTAACTTCAGTAGGAAGTGAGCTGTCAGTATCTCTCCGTGGCTTGCTCTGACGATGTGGTTCTGTGATTGGTTGTTTCCTTCGATTGTTGTGTCATTGGCTGATTCCATAGATTTTCCTGTTGCCTGTTCCTCTGCTTCACCTCTGACCTTTCTGTCGTTTATTATTTTTCGTGTTGGTTGATAAGTCGGGTCTATGTGTATACATCTATTGATTGCTGACTGACCTAAATGCCAAGCAAAGAAGATAAACCGAATATCATTTACAAAATCAACTGGAATAACTGCAGTCAACACTACACATTGGACAAAGTGGCCGCCCTCTTCGTCTACATGAGTACCAATTGGCTATTAAACGCCACGACGTCTCGTCACTCATTTCAATGCACTTGGATAACCTATGGACATGAATTCAATTTCGACATTGTAGAGATTTCGGACAGAGGAAACACAAAAAATATCAGAGAACTCTTAGAAACTTGGCATTCAGGTCAGTCAGTCAGCAATCAGTAAATGTATAGACATAGACCCGATGTATCAACCAATAAGGAAAATGATAAA